AAGAAGGGCTGCTAGACACTGAGCAAGTCCACCTCCCCACTTACAGTGATTCCAGAAGAGGTCACCATATTTCATACACTCTCAACCCCTTTCAGGCCCTTCTCCATACAAGCAGCAAAGTAATCTTTGTAAAAAAGGTAAATCATATCATAAATGCCACTTCCATCCCCTCAACTGCCTCAACTTTCATTCTCTAGAGACTTCATTCTAAATCAGAATAAAATTCAAACTCCTTATTCAGGTCTTACAAGGCCCTATCTGATCTAGATCCTGCCTAGCTCTCTAACTTATCCCCTCATATTCTCCCCTCTGCTTTGTTCACCATATTCAACCATACTGGTTTTCCTTCAAGTGTTCAAACATGCGGAACAAATCCTGTATCAGTGACTTCACATCTTATGTTCTGTTTACCCTGAACTATGCTTTCCACAGATCTTTGCATGGTTGCCACCTTCTCAACCTTTAGGTCTCAGTTCAAAAGTTACCTTCTCAGAGACTTTCTCTTACTGCCCTATCCTAAGCATCACACCCTCATCTTCCTATCCCATTTGTTTCTTTCAGAGCACTTTTTACTAACTGAAATTATCTTTACGTGTCTACACGTTTTAATGTCCAATTTCCACCATATGAATATATGGATGCAAGATCAAAGAGGCTAAGAATTTTGTCTTGTTTAATGCCTAGCATAGAATACTCAATCAAGAAATAGTAGCTCTATATAGAAAATCTATAGCCAGTTCTGAATTGGGACAAAAGGCTGTATTTGTAGTCTTAATTCACTGTAAGAGAGATGTTTAAATATTATTATTCTGAAAACAACCCATCCTCTAGCTTCCCAAATGACACACGGAGAAATGACACTAATAGGATCTTTTCCACTTACAGTTTCGAATGTAACAACCAGCAACTGATGACTTTGCCAAGAGTTCCATACCCAAATCCTGTAATCTGCCAGAGTTTTCGGTTCCACATGCAGCCAGAGCTGCCTGGTCAGCAGAAAAAAGGCTTGCCTGCATGTCTCCAGAAGCAGCATTGCTGCCTTTGATTTCTGAAAGTGTATTCTTTACATCAGTTTTCATACATCGAACTTCAGCCATTTGAGTTCTGAGTCTTTTCAGCATCTTTAAATCAGAGGGAACTCGCCACATTGACTGCTGCTTCCTTTGGTCTTTATCTTTTCGAGAAAATGATGCTTTAGAGAGAAAGTTTTAAGTCACGTTACTAGAGACTTCAGCATTCATTAAATCATTCTGTACTGTCAATATATGCAAATGTGTAAAACGCTAAGGTGCTTCTGGTGGGATCAACAATTAAAAGCATGCATTAAATTACATTAATGAAAATAAAGATAAATATAAGTATCCTAATTTTATCCATACCTTTAAAGTTAGAGTCTGGGTCACATTATAATCACTCAAATCAGAATTAGTTACTTAATCCTAAAAGTTTAATAAAACTGCCTTACTGCCTGCCTGTGCTTTCTTCTTTATAGTTCTCCATTTTACTTGAATTTCCTACACTGAGTTTTTATTATCTTCATAACTGAAAAAAATGAAAAAAAAACAACAACCCTAGAATCCAAATTATAAGTACTTTGTCAAATCTGCTATCCATAGTATATAAAAATATATATATTCCATTTAAGTTTAAAAAAGTGTCCAGTGTAGTTACAGCTATTAAGTGCCACAGAACATAAAATAGTTCCCCATCAGTCTTTACAGCCTCTAAAATTAACAATGTTTTCTTTTTTCCTAGAGAAAGTAGTTGTTTTTCACTTTTCCCACTCCTCAAATATTAAAATAGAGGCATAAGTAAGGAAAATACAGACCTACTGCAGAAAGGGAAAAGATGTAGATTTTTTTTTTTTTTAATGTTTTATTTATTTCTAGGAGAGGGAGAGAGACAGCATGAGCAGGGGAGGGTCAGAGAGAGAGGGAGTCACAGACTGAAACAGGCTCCAGGCTCTGAGCTGGCAGTCAGCACAGAGCCCGACGTGGGGCTCGAACCCACAACCACGAGATCATGACCTAAGCAAAAGTCGGACGCTCAACCGACTAAGCCACCCAGGCGCCCCAAGAAAAGATGTAGATATTTTGAAAATCAAAGAATGTTATGACAGACTCAAAGCAAAAAGAAACCAAGCTTTAGCGGCCCCCTCCGAAAAAAATGGAGGACCAATAGGCACTAAATAAAGGACAAGTACTTTATTAGCAGGAATCACAGCTGAAACTGCCTTCTAGCACAGAAGAGGAAGTACAGTAGAAAGTAAACACTGCAGTGTGTTCAACAGCCAATCCCACACTTCTACGTTGCCAAAAGGACTCAGATTGTGTTCAGGTATCAGGTGGTAGGCAGCAATGTGCTCAGGGAGGTTAGATCCCTACTTTGGCCCCAGTACATATGGGTCCAGGACTGGTCTAAGTTCATTCTTCTGACAGTGTTTAGAGTGGGTATATGACTTAGCCAGCCAAAAGTCTGGGGTAGGGGTGCTTCTGAGAAAGATTTTCTATCTTGACAGAGAGATTTTACTATCTTTATATAAGAAACATCCATAAAAAGTTAACTGAATGTCAGATATTTTAAGAATATTAAGTCATTTAGGGGCGCTGGGTGGCTTAGTCGGTTGAGCATCCGACTTTTGCTTGGGTCATGATCTCGCGGTTCGTGGGTTTGAGCCCCGCGTCGGGCTCTGTGCTGAATGCCAGCTCAGAGCCTGGAGCCTGTTTTAGTATGTGACTCCCTCTGTCTCTGACCCTCCCCTGCTCACGCTGTCTCTCTCTCTCCTAAAAATAAATAAAACATTAAAAAAAAAAAAAAGAACATTAAGTCATTTAATCCTCTCATATCAATCCTCTGAGGTAACTAAATACTATTATTATCTCCATTTAATAAATGAGGTAAGTAAGGAGAGATTTTAGAAATCTAGGATTTAGTCTCAGATCTACCATTTAGTTGCTATAACTTTCTCTAAGTCCACCAACTTGAGTCCATTATTTACTCATAAAATGAAGATAATAATATGCACATAACAGAGCTGTCATGAGGCTCAGAAGACACAATGTTTGTGAAAGCACTCTGGTATAGTCCTCCATCCAATCTCTTTCCACCAAGATGTCAGAAATATTTTCTAAAACCCAAATCAGTTATTATTTTCTATTAATTTCCTGCAGACAATCATTCATGAAAGCACCAGCGTGGCACACGGAGCCCATTATCTGATTCCACCTTATCTCTCAGTGGCTTTATCTTCTACCTCTATCCCAAACATATTCCAATGTTTTGGTATTACTTGCAACTCTACACAGGCAATGCCACATCCTCTTATGCGTTTGACATGTCATATTCCCTGTGCTCTCTGTTAGCCCAAGCCCATCAGATGAAATCTGAAACGTCTACTCCTTTAGGCACCTAAACCACCAACTGCCTCACTTCTTCCAAATCAATTCTTAACCTAATTTTGTATAATACTTGGAGTATACTTCTACCACAGCACTTATCACATTACAGTAAGAAAGACAAACATATAGAAGGAACAACTGAAGGGTAGAGATAACATCTTAGTGACCTTTGTATTCCAGGCCAAACAGCTTATGGCACAAGATATTCACAACTTTTATTTATGAGAGAGCAAGCAAAGCAGGGCCAGAAAAAGGGAAAGAGGATTCTGAGAGAGAGAGAAAGAGAGACAGCGCGAGGAGGAAGGGCAGAAAGAGATGGGGTAGAGACAGAGAGAATCCAAGAAGGCTCCACACTGTCAGCACAAAGCCCGACTTAGGGCTCAATCTCAAGAACCATGAGATCACGACCTGAGCCAAAATTAAAAGTTGGATGCTTAACCAATTGAGCCACCCAGGAGTTTCACAAGATATTTAAATAAAATCTAGCACCCCACATCTACATGGACTTAAATATGAAAATCTGTATTCCCACATGGCCCAGTTTATTATTACTAGAAATTGACAAGAATTTTAAAAAGTAAAAGTCCCAAATGGGAAAATACAAAAAAAAATTTAAACAAATCTCTATCATCTGATAATCAAACAACTACTGACCCTGTTTGAAATGCTAGGAACTGTGCTGGGTAGGAAATACAATAGTGAACAAGACAAACCCTCAGTCTTTCCTCTCACAAAGCTCACAGTACAGCTGGAAAAATGAAAAATAATCTATTTCAGTACCATGTGATGACTGCCAAGACAGGAAAGTGTAATGGGATCTTATACCACAGGAACCTGACAATTTAAGGAAAGTTTTACTGCACTGAAAATAAGAAGCCTTCCCGAATGTGCCAAGTTACAAGGTTAATTAGAATTCAGAGTCTCATCTGTAACAATTCTTTCATATCATTCAGGAATGTACTTCAAGACTGACAGTTCTTTAAAGTTCCTCCTCCAGATTTCAGCATCAATCAGTGCTACTACCATTCTGGTCACCTAAGCTTCTTCAGAGTCATTACCACTTTCCACTCAGTTGCCAAGCCCTGTTAATTCTAACTTCACGAGAGTCCAAATACTACCATCACCATGCTACTATGTACAGAGTAGATTGATGTATTCTTTAGAGGTTAAGTAGAACTTTTATAATGTCAAAAGATTCTGAAGACCTCAGATCTACATATTTTTGAGAATATGAAAATTGAGAAAATATCCAGAAATAGATGAATTTGCCCTCACATACAAGGAACCACTGAAGTAACCTTCTACAATAGTACCCTCATTAAACTTTCATTTCTAATAGTTTTCTGGGCACTGCCAGCTTTCTGAGAAGCAGCTTGAATCAAACCACTCCTAAACTGCAACAAGGCTTCCCAATGCCCACTTATACATCATTCCTCTGACTAGCATGCAAACACCTTCTATAGAATAACTCTGTCTGACTTTCTATTTCTACTTTCTATTTCTACCACTACATGTACCATAAAATCTGGTTCAACTATATTATCTGTGATTCATACCCTGATACCTTTTAAAATGCATTTACAGGCACGTAAGCACCTTAGGATGGCCCGCACTACAGAACCGCTGGCAAAGAAGATCTTTAAAATAGTTTTAGTAGCTGAATTTGTGGGCGTTTCTGGAGCATATTTTCTGCTTAATAAGATGAACACAAGTCAAGATTTCAAGCAAACAATGAGCAAAAAATTCCCCTTCATCTTGGAAGCTTATTACAAATCCATTGAGCAGTCTGGAATGTATGGAGTCAGAGAGCAAGATGAAGAAAAATGGCTGAATAGCAAAAATTAAGACCAGCCATCACGTTCAGCCTCCCATCTAAGCTATTTGAGACCTTTGTGGGGAAGAAGAAAGATGAGCACACCACATTGTAGACTCCTGGTCCCTCAGAGCAAAACAGGAACTTCTGGTCTGCTAAGGCCTAGTCACTTCCCATCCACAGTGCAAACCCCTGCTTTTATTTGTTGCTTTCCTTCTGCATTTACTGTTAAAGATTACCGTTGAACAAATAAAAGACTAGGACAAGAAAGGAAAAGAAAATGCTTTTGCAGTACAGTACGATGCTTTTTAAGAACGTTAACCTGCAGTGAGTCTGAAACATAATAGGTTCACTCAGTACGTACTGAAAGAATGAAAGGAAAATAAAGGAATACTATGAACAACTTTATGCCAACAAATTTTTGATAACGTAGATATATACCTTGAATATCAAGACCAATACCTTGAAAGATGATCTGCCAAAAATTGAAAATAGATAATCTGAAGAGGCCTATATCTACATTTTTTATCTCCAAGAATAGAAATAGAGGGAACACTTCCGAACTCAATCTACAAGGCATTACTCTAATATCAAAATCAAAGACATTACAAGAAAATGACAGACCAGTATCTTTCATGAATAAAGATACAAAAAACTGTCAACATTAGCAAACTGAATCTTACAGTGTATATAAAAAGAATTATATACCACAACTAAGTGGGATTTATCCCAGATATGCAAGGCTGTTTCTAAAAACATTCGAAAACCAAATAATGTAAAGCAGCACATCATATCAATAGATGCAGAAAAAGCATTTGACAAAATCCAATACTCAATATACATTCGTGAATTAAAACAAAACAAAACAAAACAAAAAAACAACCCTTGAGGTGCCTGGGTGGCTCAGTCAGTTAAGCATCCAACTCTTGGTTTCGGCTCAGGTCATGATTTCACAGTTTCGTGACTCCAAGCCTCCAAGTACAGAGCCTACTTGGGGTTTGTTCGCTCTCTCTCTCTGCCCCTCCCCTGCTCACGCTGTCTTTGTCTCTCTCAAAAATAAACTTAAAAAAATAAACAAACAGGGGCACCTGGGTGGCTCAGTTGGTTAAGCATCTGAATTCAGCTCAGGTCATGATCTCATGATTCATGAGTTCGAGCCCTGTGTTGGGCTCTGTCCGGACAGCTCAGAGCCTGAAGCCTGCTTCAGATTCTGTGTCTCCCTCTCTCTCTGCCCCTCCCCCACTCATGCTCACGCTCTCTCTCAAAAATAAACATAAAAAATTTTTCTAAAAACAAACTCTTAGTAAATCACAATAGAGGAAAATGTCTTCAATTTAATAATGAATAGCTATAAAAAACCTATAGCTAATATCACACTTAATGGTGAAAACCTCAAAGCTTTCCCAAAAAGATCATCAACGAGGCAAGGATGTTCCCCTTCACCGAACTCCTTTTCACATTACTGGATGTCCTAGCTAACAAGGAAGGGAAGGAAGGGAAGGAAGGGAAGGAAGGAAAGGAAGGGAAGAAAGGAGGGAGGGAGAAGAAAGAAAATGAAAGGTATACAGATTAAGAAGGAAAGAATAAATCACTGGAATCTACTCCTGAAATTATTGTTGCACTCCCTCCTGCACTGTTGGTGGGAATGTAAACTGGTACAGCCCTTCTGGAAAACAGTGTGGAGGTTCCTAAGGAAACTAACAATAGAACTCCCCTATGACCCAGCAATAGCACTGCTAGGAATTTACCTAAGGGATCCAGAAATGCTGAGGCATAGGAGCACATGTACCCCAATGTTCATAGCAGCACTCTCCACAATAGCTAAAACATGGAAAGAGACTAAGTGTCCATCATCGGATGAATGGATCAAAAAGATGTGGTTTATCTATACCATGGAATACTACATGGCAATGAGAAACAATGGAATCTGGCCATGTGTAGCAACATGGATGGACCTTGAGGGTGTTATGCTGAGTGAAATAAGTCGGGCAGAGAAGGACAAATACCATATGTTTGCACGTATAGGAGGATTAGGAGGAACTTAACTGAGGAACAAGGGGGGAGAAGAAGGGGGGAAATGGTGGGGGAAAGGGAGAGAGGCAAACCATGAGAGACTCTTTAATGCTGACAAAAACTGAGGACTGATGGATGTGGGGGGAAGGGGGGATGGGCATGGAGGAGGGCACTTGTGGGGAAGAGCACTGGGTGTTATGTGGAAACTAATTTGACAATAAACTATTTGTAAAAAAAAATAAAAATAAAATAAAATAAAATAAAATAAAAACAATGCCAAAAAAAATTATTGTTGCACTATATGCTAAATAACTTGGATGTAAATTAAAAAAGAAATTAATTAAAAAGAGAAAAGAATAAACAAAGAACCAAAATAAATACTGAAACCCAAACAAGCATTTTAATTAAAAAGAAGGCTGGGTCTTTCTGCAATATTAGCTTTTCATATCCTCTCAGATTGGTTATCTTCAGTTAGTTTCCATGACTCTATTTTCTTGGTTTCTCTCCTTTCTAAAAGGCTCTTCAATCTGTTTCATCTTCCACACACTTCATAAAAACAGATGTTCACTATGAATCATGTCCCAGGCTCTGTTCTTGTCAAAATTTTCTTAAAACTCCCTCTTTACAATCTAACTCATTTAGTTTTAGTTATCCAGTATCACCTCTAGGCAAATAACTGCCAATATTCCAGTTCTTAAGTTTTAGCTAATAGGCAACTCTATTTTGATATCCTACTGGCATGTAGATATTTAAAGATTTGCTCTTCCTCTCTGGTGTTCCCCCTTCCTTGACATCAGCATTTTGCTCACTTGGATTGGAAACTCAGGCCATTTCATTTATATTATTAATTTTACATAGAAAACTTATTTTTGGATAATGAAGACTTTATTCTGTTAATGGTATGTATTCATTTTTCCATTGATGTTGAGTATTTTTCAAAAACAAGATTTTTACCTATCTATAAAATATGTATGGTTAAGCTCTAATTTTTCAGACATAACTATATTCTTGGATATTTTCAAACAACTCTGTTTTCTATTTAGGATATACTCCTAGAAGTGAAATTACAGAATTAAAGGATAGAGGTATTTTATGTATGTATGTATGTATGTATGTATGTATTTATGGGGGTGGTGTGGACACAGGGGGAAAGAGAGAGGGAGAGAGAGCGAGAGAGAGAGAGAAAATCCCAACCAGGCTCACACTGCCAGTGTGAAGCCAGATGTGGGGCTCAAACTCACAAACCATGAAATCACGACCTTAGCCATAATCAAGAGTCAGAAGCTTAACTGACTGAGCTATCCAGGCTCCCAAAGGACAGAGGTACTTTAAACCTAGTACAAAAATTTACTTCAAAAAGATTATACCAATGTACACATCTACCTGCAGAATCATAACTTGCCTGTTTCACTAGGCCTTTGCAAGTAACACTGGCTGTAATTTTATCAAAACCCTTGTCAAGGTGTTTCCTTTTTTTTTTTTTAAGCTATTTCTTTGTTGATCACGAACACTATATGTGATTTTTATTTTCTTTGTAATTTTCTATATTTTCCAAATTTTCTGTCTCAGAAATAATACTTCAGGAAAAAAATGTAAAATTATATACAGTGTGATTAAGTTTTATAAAAATGCAAGTATCATACAAAATGTACTCGGATCACAGATAAAAGGCAAGTATTTAATAACATAACTGGAGACAATCTTTCAAACTGAGGATCCAGACTTCCCAGAATATACCTTAGAAACAAAGAAGCCTAGGGGCGCCTGGGTGGCTCAGTCGGTTAAGCATCCGACTTCAGCTTAGGTCATGATCTCATGGTCCTGAGTTCAAGCCCTATGTCAGGCTCTGTGCTGACAACTTAGAATCTGGAGCCTGCTTTGAATTCTATGTCTCCCTCTCTCTCTCTGCCCCACTCCCCTCTCTCAAAAATGAATAAATGTTAAAAAGAAAAAAAAGAGGCCTAAACAATCTAGTCTTAGTTCACTCTCCAACTAGAGCAGTTCTATGTGTTTTCTATACCAATGCTCTGCCTCACTCTTTGAAAAATGAGTTCTTCTTTTTTTTTTTTTTTTTTAATGTTTTACTTATTTCTGAGAGAGAGAGCGTGAGCAGGTAAGGGTCAGAGAGAGAGGGAGACACGGAATCCGAAACAGGCTCTGGGCTCTGAGCTAGCTGTCAGCATAGAGCCCGATGCAGAGCTCGAACCCACGAACCATGAGATCATAACTTGAGCCGAAGCTGGACGCTCAACCAATTGAGACATCTAGGCACCCCGAGTTCTATTGTTTTAAAGAAGCATCAAAATCGATGTTCTAAATCACTGATATTTGATTTGTATAATACTATCACTTAAGAAGGTAGGAAAATATTGAGTATATTTTCGAAAGCTAACAAAAATGTTTTTAAAACGTGGCATTTACATGTAAATCTTAGCTGTTCAAAATGATCAGGCCTGAGAGTTTCAAAAAGTCCAGGTTTGACTACACATCTAATATGTGTGGCTTTACATCACATTACAGTAATACAGATATAACTTCTCTTTAACAAATAACTTCTGCAAAGAAAACACTGATGCTAGTTGGTACACATTTTGTGGCTACTGAACATCAAAGCATAAAACCATCTTTTTTATATTCAATTCAGACACAGTTCCACTTACATGTTAGGGTATTAATGAGTCCTGCAAAACCCTAAAGTCATTCACAAAGAGGACAATAGTACTTCATATAAGTCAAACTGTCAATCAGACATAATCTAAATGCCAAATCATATACAAACATTCTAATAGGCATTTTGACATTATTGTGCAAAAACATCATTGAACAATAACCAAAAAAGTAATTTGATTTATATAAATGTCATTAAAATTTTTTTTTAATGTTTATTCATTTTTGAGAGAGAGGGAAAGAACGGGAGCAGGGGAAGGACAGAGAAAGAGCAGGACACAGAATGTGAAACAGGCTCCAGGCTCTGAACTGTCAACATAGAGCCTGATGCTGGGCTCAAATCCACCAACTATGAGATCATGACCGGAGCTGAAGTTGGACACCAAATCGACTGAGCCACCCAGGCACCCCTAAA